TGGCACTACTGTAGAGAAAAGATAAAGGAGCCAAAAGATTTTGCAAATATCCCACAAGTGATATCTGTGGAATCTCAACTTGTTCTTAGGAGTAGATAAGAACAAGTTTAGTTTTGACCAACTTGGTCTTAAAAACTTGGCAGTAGAGTATAACCTAAGCATAGGCTTACAAGGATATTTAAAAGGAAAAACAATGGTTTTATTTTTAATGTAACTTAAAATGTACACTTGTGTCATCCCTTCCCAAAGTAAGTAAATCTGGAGGCTACAAAAGAAGGGTTGTGTGTGGGAGTGCCCAATAATAATGATCACAAATGACACTAGAGTCACAAGTTTGTCCTGGGTCAATTTGAGCCTTGTCTCATAGATCTACAAATCTTCCTAACTTCCTACATTGATAAACCTGATCTATTTTTCACACATATGATTACTAGTTACTGTCTTCATGGTTTTCAGAGACTGGCTGAAGTACTAATTGCTTTTGTGCTGTCTCTATTGTTGTCTTAGTATAATCCCTTCTCTATGTATGCCATGTCCGGTCACCTGCCATGAGCCACTGTGAACCTCTGAACTTATCTGATGCTGAATACTTTTAACTGTCAATGCCCCACCTAATAGAGAACAAGGACTTTAGGTTGCTTCCTCCACCTCTGTTCCATTTCAGCAAGAGGTAGCTTGGAGATGTTGTGACCCAGTTTTCTATAGAAATGGAATGTAATTGAAATTGACAGTGGGGAAATATAACAGTGGTATACTTCATGCTTTGAATATAGCCCTTGGTGGTCTACCACTGCAACTTTTTCCCAATGGACAATTTTTGTTTTTGTTTTTTTTCTTTTCCTTTCTCCCTGCTCCTACATAATATCTTCCCCTCTTTAATCTCAGGGGAAAACAGATTACCTTTCTTTGCCACTTTAGGCAGATTTATCTGTCCTTGAGTATACACCCACCACAGGAATGAAGTAATCCAGATTTGGGGGATGGCACCAGAAGATCTAGAAATGACTATCTCTCAAATTAACAAATGAATTACAACTCCAAAAGAGGACACATGGAAAATAGGCTTTGAATCACCTCTTTTACAAAACAAACAACCCAATC